AACTGTAACCCGAAGTTAATAAGTTAATAAAAAGTCCCCGGCCGTAGAGGTCACCTTAATACCAAAAAAAAAAAAAATATATCTTCATTATCTTTAACAAACAAGGAATTATTCAACTCGGGCTTAATATTATAATAAGGTTTATAAGTCTAGTATCATTTGCAATACTTTAAAAAAAATAATAATATACAGTACTACATACCTTCTGATATTTAACTATTTTATCCTTTGTAATAGCAGATACATGATAATTTAGACAACTTTTAATTTTAGCATGTTGAACTTTTTGCATTTCGGGTGTAATAAATTGGCTCAAAGCCTTATCAAGTTCAGAAAACAATGTTTGTGGCAATACAGTGGCAGAAGATATTAATAAAATTTGTGTTTTCCAATAAGCATATTTTGCTTTTTTACTTTCTTTTTCTATACTTGCTTCCAAAGCTTTAGCAAGTTCGAGAAAGCTAATATTAGAGTTTAAAATTAATCTTTTAATTTGAGCATTGTAACTCTCAACGCGAGATGTTGTTTGAATGCCAGCAGTAAAGACCTTTGCTGTATATGCATACTCTTTTTGAAGAATATAATGTTTGCAAATACTTTACTACCCTAGACTTGTTATATTTTTCAACTAATTGTGACTATCTTTGTTTAAAAATTTCAGAAACAAGTGAATTTCTGACTATATAAAAATTTTTAACAAACTCCTAATACTGTTAACCCAACTTAGCTTTGAGATTTCAAGAAAGATTTTGTAAAATATAAAAAATGCAATGCATAGCATATGATTGTTTGTATTCTTCAGATATTGCAAGGTCCAAAGCTGGATCAGCATTAGTCATAATAATAGTAAGCACACAACCACTTGTAGTTTGTTTTGTCTGATGTAAAATCTACCAATATGAATCTGCAGACTCATCATTTAAAAGTGTACATCCAACTAGTTGGGAAGACCCATGATTATTGACATATAAAAAAAGTGAGAGAGCCAAGTTATATCTGTTTGTTTTTGCAGTGTTATCATTTAATATAATTTTACTAAACTCTATCCAAAGGATAATCTGATTAGGAGATATCCAAAATAGTTTTTGAAGGCTATGTAATTCTCGATCTCACTCAACTGCAATATACTATCGAGGGTTTTCATTTTTTTTTTTTACTAATTCTTCATACAATAATGCAGCATCATTTGATATTTCTTTTTATTTCTCACTATAATATTTTGCTGTTGCTTTATGAATTTCAGAAAGATAGACTTCATGATTAGGAAATTTCTTCTGTAAAGCCTTCTGAATTTGTAACAGCTTTAGTTTAATAGCATTTATATAAAATTCTATTCACTTATACATTTCTTGAGTAATTTTACTATCATTAAAAAATTTTGTTCTAAAAGAAGAAAGGCTATGATTATGATCATTATCTAAAGTAGTAAAATAGACATTTTCATTAAGATTGTTCTTCTGTAGTTGTGATAAATTTACATGCCACAGATATTTAATATATTTTGTACTTGTTTCTTTAGTTAATTGTGTGTTTCTAGGTTTATATTTACTGCTGTGCTCATATAACATTGTTCTTTTTCATATAGTTCCATTAGAAGTTTTCTCAACACATTCTTTTCTTAGTTTAAACCCTTTATGTTGAGAATATAGGGTTAACATATCAAATGCTTCTTCTTGATCTTGAAACGTTATTTCTTTAAATAGTTTTTTTTTAGAATAGCCCAATCCAATATCCTCATTTTCTTAAATAGCAATTACAAAATCACATATTATCGGCCCACTAGGCTTAAGATCATGTATATTCTCATTATGCATCATCTATTTTTGGATTAAAATTATAGCAAAAAATATGTAAGTATAAAAAATAAATTACAATAGCTATCATTACATACTATTTAAACTAAAAGTTCTAAATATTACCTTCTTTGCTTATATAATTTGCTTTAAAACCCATGTTGCTTTGTTACTATACTTGCTAGATAGTCTTTTGTTACTGCTCTTTTGTTACTGATTTTTGTTGCTATATTACTTTATTGCAAAAAGGAACTTTATTTTTGTTGCTAGAATCGTAGAGACAGATTATTTTATTGCTAAAATTGTCTAAATTTACTTAAACAATGTTATAAAGAATATTGTAAGTGTATTTTTTAATATTTTTTTTGTTAAAGCCAAATTGATTTATTGAAATTTAAAGATTCTCTATTATACCTTTTATTTGTTTGTTATCATTACAAAGTTTGTTTACTAAATAAGAAAGTGATAAAATAAATGTAAAAAGGTAAAAGCATAAAAAATACCAGTTTTGAAGTAGAGTTGTTTTACTAAATAAAAGCAAGATATAAAGATAAGAATCAAAAAAAATATTTTATGAATATATAATATAACAATAAAAAATGAATTTGTTGAGATACAAGATTTATGTAAGACTCGTAAATAGTTATTAAATCAAAAAAAATCTTGAGATTCTGTGGGTGTATTGCAAAAAAATAAACTGAGATCTGGCAATCATACAAAATCCGAGAGGATGCATAATTGTGCAGATGCACAAAAAATATTTTTCCATAATATAATATAACTTATAAAGAAAAATAAAATTTTAAATAAAAATTGGCTAAATTGAGTAGAGTCAATAGAAATAGAACAAATTTATTAGATAAATTTGTTCTATTTCTATTGACTTCACCCCAAATATAAATAAATATAGTATAACCTGTCAAAACTGATACTGTCAAAACTGATAACCTGTTAAAACTGATAAAAAATTGATCTACTATCTCTTAATTAAATATAGTAATTTTACCTTTTAAACCTGATAACTTGTCAAAACTGATACAAATTTGATCCATTATACACATTGGTTTTTTTTTTTTTTTTTTTTTTATTAAGAAAGGTCTTTCTTCTAGTTCTTTATTATTAAAATTAGAATTTATAACTGAGTTACAAATATAATTTTACATTACGAAGTAGTGGTTATGATATTTTTATCCTTGCCAAGCCTTTACTAGAATAGTCGCAAGACCTCTAGATTGTGAAATAAGTAAAAGGGGCTGTACTATTAAATTTAATGTAAATATTTATAGAAGTGTTGTATTTTTTCTTTATCAACCAGTAGATAATCAATATCATCTTTGATTATGATACTTGGGTCTATTTTTATCATTGGTATTTGTCTATTACTTCTTGTCTCAATCTAGATCTTTTTATAAATTTCAGCAATTATACGGTGATATATTAGAGGTGTGATTTGTTTTTTTAGATTTGTATCAGGTATAGGTGCTAGAGTATTCTCAGTGATTAGTCCTAGTTACACTTTTCTTTTTATGTATATATTGTAGAAGTTTGTATAAAATTAGTGTATATTCCCTCCTTGTATTTGTTTCTCATTTAGAACTTTTTGACATTCATTCATAACTATGTCTTTTAAGTTATAAGATAGATATAGACATGTGAGCAAGTGATTGAAGCTTTCTATTGTGTTTGGGCATTTGGTACAAAAGGGATTGAGATATTGTTTAGAGTTGCGTTTATAAAGCTATAGCCACGTAGGTATATCATCATTCAATATCTTGATCTTGAAGCTTTGTACTTTTGCTGTTTCCATATTAGTTGATCTTGTTTTTGAAGAATTATTAAGTGTTAGATACTTGAAAGTTAATTTTTAGTCAATGGTGTCCGTAGTCATTTTTAATATTCTAAAGCATTTTTGGTTGCTTCAGTTGCATCTTGCAATAATATTGCTTGTGTTTTTTAATAGCTGTACTGAGTTGAAGTTGGGTACGTATTAATTAGCTAGTATCTGTTGAGGTTATGCTGATGTCTACCAAGAAAAAGTAGGAATAGATATTGTTGGTCTTTCTTTTGTAATGTTTATTATTAGTATGATATTCTTTTGGTTGGCAAGTGCTACTATCATTCTTGATATTGCATTGAAATATATATTTTTTTGCTTTTGCCAATAGTAATATGGTGTTGATAATTGTTCTTCGATTAATTTTTTGACTGTTGCATTGTTTATATAGATTATAATTTTAGACTTGTCCCTTATACAAGATATTATTATAGCAATAGCTATCAAGATTGTATGCGTACAAGAAGGCCAATCATTTGCTATAACTTTCCATGAGCTTTTTACTGATGTTTAATATACTGTAGCTTTGTAGGTTGAAGATACTTTGGAACTTATGATTTGTATAATGTCTGTGAAGTTTAGCTTTTTTTCATATAATTCTTGTAGTTTCTCTTTGATCTGATCATTTGTTTCTGTAAAAAGAATGTCTAGTATAAGAGTATTTCTTATATTTGATTGTAGTTTTAAAATGTGTTACTTTGAATAGGATATGTTGTTTAGATCCTCTATTCTTGCTTTTATCTTTTTTGAACCATTGACATTTATATGGTATAATTTTAATCTTTCTCTCAAAAAAATACATCATTTTTTGTTTTTTTCAATTTTAATTTAATTATATATCCTTCATATAGTGTTAATTGATCATTTTCATGTTCAGTTATGTAGTGTCTTAGATTGATAAAGTTTGTATTATATTTATATATTGTAATCTTCCCATATAGTTTGTTATTTGTAATTATCCAACTTGTACGATCTGATATTTTTTGCAATGTGAATGGGTTTATATTATTATCATTTAGATTTACACAGTTGTCTTTAGTCAAGCTTTGCAGGATTTGTTTGTACCAGCTAGGTTCGCATTCTTTGGGTATTGCTATAACATGATAATGGAATTCTTTTAATTTTAAATTGTCATTTAAATGGTAATTAAGGAATTGTTCTATAAATCCTATGCCAAGCTTGTTAAGTCTTTTCTTAATTAAAGGTGCATTGTTTAACTTCTCTAGTATTGTGTTGATACTTTTCCCTGCAATTATTAGCAGTTTTGACCAGGGGTTTAATGGTCTTTGAAACTGAACTTGTGCTATATGTAGTTGATTGATTGCGAAGGTTGTTAATTTATTTTGTTTATTTATAGGTAGGACTGGTTGTTGTTCTAACACTGAGATATTAGTGTGTGCTGCATTCTGTATCTGCTGAAGTCTTATTTTTATTGTACTCATATCGAAGCTATTGTCATTGATTGAGTTTAAAAGATTGGTGATCAAAAACTGTCGTTGAATTTGTTCTATAGAGTCTAGTGCATACAGTTCCAGATGGAGAAAGTTTGTATTAGAAATATTCTGAGAGAAACGAGCTTTGTTATACAATCTGGATAAATTTGTTAGTAATATGATTACATTGCTTTGTATTTAAAAAAAGGCTGTGGAACTGATATCTTATGCGTGATATTATGACTGCATTGATTACATAAATAGCTTGTTTTTCTGTGATTTTTGCAATTTCACATTTCTCTAATGTATTGAAGATATTGTTTCTACTTGTTTTCTTGTGTATTTTCTTTAGGTATCAGTTGAGAAGTATGCTCCTAGGTATTTGAAACTATTCGTTACTAGGATCACGTTCATTTCGAAGGTCTCAACTTTTATTTCTCTGTTTTCATTTTTTGTATTGGTAACGAGTTTTGATTTTGTTGGGTTTACTTTAATATTTGTATATTTGTAAAACTCTAATGCAGTTTTAATAATTTTTTCTAAATCTTCCTTCTTTTCTGTTATCTATGCAGAGTCGTCTATATAGGCTAAAACGGATATGTTTTTAGTATACGTCTTATTGTTTGGTGTGTGTGTTTGTAATTAATAGCCTTTGTGTTTCTTGTTTATTCTGTTTATGAGAGGATCGTAGAAAATTCTCCAGAGAATTGGTGATAATGTTTTTCTCTGATCTATACTGTCTTCAACCTTGTATGCCTAGGTCTGTAATTACTCGATTTGTGTAGTTGGTGAAAGTATATTGTAATATTCGATTATATGTTCTGGTACTTTAATCTGTCTTAAGGCTTTAGCAAGAAGTGGGATGTAGACAGAGTTATAAGCCTTGAACATATTTTAGAACAACATCTAGTACAGTATTCTTTATTCTGTGACTGTACATCTTCTAGTATATGATTGACGGCTTGTATTGCTATTGTAGTTGATGTGAAAAGTAATACTACACTATTACTATTATCTAAAATTTGAAAGCAATAAAGGATATGATTTAATCTTTGAGTGATTATACTAGTAAAAACTTTTCTAGGATGTTCGATTAGTGTGATCGGGCGAGTATTGCTAAGTTTGAAATCATAGTGTTCTTTCTTAGAAATAGGCCAAATGTTTGCACTCAACTATTAGTCAGGTATTTTCTTTAGTTTTAGACATGTGTTAATTATTTCTTTGTAGTATTCTAATGCATTTTTAGGGAGTTGTTTTAGTATTTCGTTTGCTGGCCTTGTTGCTTTGTTTAGTAGTAGGTTGTTGATCGTATTCTTAAGCTCGATTATAGTGATGGGTTTTAGCATATCACTATAGTTGTCTTTTTGTATTCCCTTCTTTGGTTTGTAGTACTTTTGCTACATGTTTTCCAGGTTGTCAGTTGTTGGGTTAGATTTAGTAAAGAGCCTAAAGTGGTTTTTTGCTTCCGTTTTGATCTCCTTTGGTTTTGTTATCACTTGGTCTTCTTTGATTATTTTCTGAAAAGAGATACTATTTTTGTAATGTTCTAGGATACTGTTTAACATACATTTGGTATTGTCTTGAAAGTTATTGTAACATCTTTGTATATAATAGTTTATTTTATCTTTTTTGGCTAGCATGTTCTCGACCTGTCTAGCTCTGGTTAGGCTTTTAATAGATG